TCCTTGGGTTGCCAAGGCAATATCACTACAGAAGTAGATTGTCCCATCTTCCTTCCAAGGAGTGGCTGGTGGGTTTGAAACACCAGCCTTCTTGTTAGCAGTCAAGTGCTTTAGGCACTATGCTACCAGAGCTCCCGATTAATAGAAGATGTGAAAACCAAAATGCTTATTTTTTATCAAACTTTCTCTTACATTGGATATTATTGGCACAACTAATAGTTATTATGGCACACCTGGTCTTTTCCATGTAAATGTCAGAAAGACTGAAAAATTCTGGAAATGTTTTTCTTCATTCTTTATTCAATTGTAAATTCATTTTCCAAGGTCTGCAACAATTCATCCCAGTAGTTGTTCTAAAATGCTTCGTATATACTGTCAAATAATTTTGTTGCTACATGTTACCTCAGCAATAAGCAATAGATTGAATTATTAATTCTTAGCCTGGCTCTGCTTCTAAGATGTTAATTTTGCTCAGTTATATAGTTTTCTTTAGCTAAAATAAAATCATTTATTCAACTATTAAAAAAATTTTAATCTTATGACCATTTAAAGAAAGAAAATTATCTCTGTTTATTTAATGAACTTCATAGATATGCATGAGTCATAACCAATTCATATAACTATTTCATAAATTTTTCAATATAATGATAATAGCTGTGTCTTATAATAGATACTCAGAACTAAGAAAGCTGGTTTAATTTTTCCAGTTTATCCATATATTTTCTTTTATTGCTTGTTCCTTCTTTTCCAACCACTAGGTTTTGTACTTAATATTCAGGCAATTTTATTTTGTCAATATTTTTTATTGAAGAAAGCAAACTTTACATATAAAATGGAATGTGACAAATAGTTTGCCTACTAGTTTTTTTTTTTTTAATGAACAATTTATGATGTTTTTATGTTGAATGTATCATTAGCTGCAAAATACCAAAATAATTCTATCATCAATAATCTCCACTATGTTGTTGTTCTCTCTCTCTCTCTCTAACTGCTGTCAAGTTGATTCAACTCATAGTGACCCCCTCCTTGGGTTTCTAAGGGAGTATCTCTCCAGAAGTAGATTGCCCAGCCTTCCTTCTGAAGAGTGGCTGGTTGGTTTGAATGGCCAGCCTTCTGGTTAGCAGTCAAATGCCTTAGGCACTATGCTACCAAGTTGGTTCGTATTCACAATGACCCTGTGTATGACAGAATGAAATACTGCCCAGTCCTGCACCAGCCTACAATCTTTGCTATCTTTGAGCCCATTATTGTAGTCATTGTATCATTCTATCTTGTTGAGGGTCTTTCTCATATTCACTGACCCTCTACTTTATCAATCATGATGTCTTTCTCCAGGGACTGGTCCCTCATGATAACATGACCAAAGTAGGTGAGATGGAGTCTCACCATCTTTGCTTCTAAGGAATATTCTGGCTGTACTTCTTTCTAGACCAATTTTGTTTGTTCTTTTGGCAGTCCATGGTACATTCAATATTTTTCACCAACATCATAATTCAAAGACATCTCTACCATAGAATTTTAAAATTTATAAATCTAATGTAGAGTTGAATTATAGGGAAGATTACCTAGGGTAATTTCTTACCCCTGAATTCATTATATATTTTTATGACTTTTTTTGCTTCACCTTACTAAATCAATGTTTCATTTAATTTCACTCAAATTCCAGTAGATAGTCCAAGTACTATAAATATATTAACAATTTATTAAAATACTACCTTAGATAAGTACTGTATTACATGGTATAGCTAATTACAACTTTTAGTGAAGATTTTCTACATTCCAGCCATTATATCAAATGATTTTCATTTAATATCTCATTTGATTCTCAACTCTCCTTTAAGTACTATTATTATCCATGATCCTTCCTCCTTCCTCTTCGTAAGACAAGTGAGGAGATGCAGAGAGAATTTAAATAACTTTTCTAGGATTACAAGGATCAGAAGGAAATGGAGTTTTCTGGCATGATATAGAAAAATATCAGGGTTGATTTTTGTTTCCTTGTTAACCATGAGAATCAGAAAATGTAGTCAGAAATCATAGTTTCAAGATATGATTCCTTAAGTTTCCCCCTACATTATTCTAAAATCAGAAAAAAAATGTAATATTAAAAAGGTTTTTTATGTTAAATTTGGCAAATTTTGCCACAAATTATGTTTGTTTTAAATAAATTTAATCAAATAATGCCAATAGAGAGAAAATGTTATGTTTTATTTTTTACTTATATTACATTCTAAAAGTTAATATTTCCAATATATTGTGAATGGGTAATAAACAAAATGTGGTAACTACAATAGACGGTTATTATATAGAGGAAACATTACATAAACAGCAATTTGGTTTACAGGACTAGGACTAGAACTAGGTGATTTAGATTATAACCTTAGGGTTATCACCAGGCAGCAGTAATCTTGAAGAGATTGATTAAATTTTTTGAGCCTAACTTCTTATACACAAAATGGCCATTACACTTTGACTCCATTCATTCTCTTGAAAAATATTTTTCAAGCACCTATTATGTACTAAAGGAACCCTGGTGGTACAAAGGTTAAGAGCTCCACAAACCAAAAGGTTGACAATTAGAACCTACCCAACGGCTCCATGGAGGAAAGACTTGGCAATCTCTTCCTGTACAGATTACAGCCTAGAAAAATCTCGAGCCATTCCACTCTGTCACATGGCATCACTGTGAGTCAGAATTGACTCTACAGCACCAAACAACAATTATGTGCTAGGCACTCTGATAGGCATTGCATGTATAAAAGTGAATTAACAAATGTCAAAATAAGTAGGTTGTTGGTAAAATGAGGGAGCTTTAGTGGCATAGTGTTTAAGGCATTTGACTGCTAACTAGAAGGCTGGCAGTTCAAACCCACTGGCCACTCCTTGGAAGGAAGACTGGGCAATCTACTTCCATAGTGATACTGCCTCAGAAACCCAAGGAGGGGTCTCTAAGAGTAGAATCGACTCCACAGCAGTGAGTGTGCTTTGGTTTTTTTTTGTAAAATAACGGGAATTTTGAAAAGAATTTGCATTTTAATTTAAATCTCTAAGTATCCTTCAGACGTACTATTCATTGACCCCATTGTTACTAGGTTTATCAGGTACAACAAGAGAGCCCATGGGAGTTACCACAGGAGTAGGCACAGAAAGCACAGCTGGAGAATCAAGCACTGGGGCCACCAGCAGGTTGACAGCAAGCACTCTAAACCCAACAGGCAAGCTAAACCTCACCTGGGGGGGGGGGCAGGTGGATCCAATGCATGTTTACCTGAAACCCAAGATTCTGATAATGAAATATAGTGAAAGTAACTAAGAGCAAAGTTTTAGAAGATAATGACATGAATGAAACAGTGAAAGTTCCTGAAAGAGTGCTTTCTTCTGTCTTTATAAGTGAAGCATCACTATTCTTCTCAATTAGGAACAACTGGAGGCACAGATGCAGCCACCACTGGAGCTGCTGGTGAAAACACATCTGGAGCATCAGGTAGTGAAGGAGCATAACCAGTATGGAATCCAGTTGGTAGATGTGACTTTTGCTCAAAATTATTCAGGGATAATTTTCGGGTATTTAGTCATATCTATGTAATACCAAGTGTTCACAAGATTGGAAATACATCAATAAATATTCATCATGTAAATAGTACTGTGTTAGATACTCTGTGGAATATAGGAAAAGCATTAGGACCATATACCAACTCTCATTCTGCTTTACTTTGGAGAGAAAGGAACTATTCTTTATAAAGACTTGTAAGACAAAGTATAAGCAAGATAGGAGTTAATCAGGTGGAAATAAGGTATGTACTGGCACAGAAGGCAATTCTAGTAAGAAGAGATAAGATAATTCAATATTGAACTCTGAATGATCTATCAAAACCAAATGCACTGCTGTTGAGTCAGATCCAACTCATAGCGACCCCTCCTTAGGTTTCCAAGGCAGAATCACTATGGAAGTAGATTGCCCAACCTTCCTTCCAAGGAGTGGCTGGTGGGTTTGAACCACCAGCCTTCTTGTTAGCAGTCAAATGCCTTAGGCACTGTGCCACCAGAGCTCCTATAGAATGATCTATATGATCACTATATTTCATCAGAAAGAATACTTTACAGTAGTTAGTATACGATCAGGTTTCTCTATTTGATTTACTTTGCTTACGAATTTAAAGCACTAATGAAGTGCTCCAAAGAGGCAAGGAGGCCACACCTTCTGACTTCCTCTAACCCCACAAGAGGAAGACAGAATCACCAACAATTGCCCAAGGCTTATTCCTGTGAGGCCAGACATGCTGCCTCCCTCCAGCCATTTCACCAACCCTGACACCAACCGTTCCTCCCACAGCACCCACCACCTCTCTGCTGGGTTCAATAATTTGCTGCAGTGGCCACACAAAACTCACAGATTATGGAATTTATTAGGGAAGCACCAGGCTACAATTCAAGTTCAGGAACAAGGCTCAGTCTCTCTCAGCCTCCCGTCTCTCAGCCAACAGTCTCTCTCAGTCTCTCTCCCAGCAGTGTGTCTCTTGGTGTATCTCTCTCAGCAATGTGTGTCTTTCTCAGCAGCACGTGTCTTTCAGGAGCACATTTCTCTCAGGAGCATATCTTTCTCAGCCGGCAATAAAAGAGACTTCTTCTGCCTCTAGGAGGGCTCCTTTTGAGCCTGGCAGAGTGATCACTAACCAATCCCAACATCAGAATTCTATACACCTGAGAGAGAGCGCGAACTTCCCAGAAGATTGCTTTGTTCTGGTGCAATAGAAATATCCCAGCTGGATAACTTTAGCAATCAGGAGCTACTCAGTTGCTCATGGCAAATTCCACCACAAAGTTTACAAAGACTTATGGCTAGAAAAGCCACACTATGTAATTTACTACACTGGAGGGATACATTCATTTATTTAAAAAAGGAAAAAAGTAAGTATATTTAAGGTCACTCTCATAAGAGAACCTAACTTAAGCTGTTATTATTATTATTATTATTATTATTATTTTCTGTAAAAAATCAGGCACTTCTGGGTTATCACCTGGAGCAACCCCTGGAACCGGAAGTGGCAACACCCTTGGAGAAGCAGGCACTGGAGCCACAGGTTCTGGTAAGAGAGGCCAGGCTGGATGAGAAGCCTCACCAATTCCAATAAAATGCCCTTCTGCAGGAGGTGATGAGCCATAAAAATCATGCTACAACTTGTATCAGAAAACATGGCGAAGAAAACTTGAGGGATAATGTTTTTCATTTCTTTTTTATTCTGGAAACTCTGCCTTCTCCTATCAGAATAGCAATTGCAGGTTTAACATCCACTCTGGTTCTTGTTTCAGGATCCACAAGCATCTCTGAAGGGTCCACCACCACCAGCCCTGGGAGGGAGAGCTCTAATAGACCCTCAGCTACACTGGCCACAAACTCTAGCAGCAAATCAGGTGAGAAAAATGGAAAACTAAGTGATTTTGGGGGGCTAAAATTGAGTGTATAAAACCACCCTCATTCCTATTATCTGGCAACATTGTGAAGAATGGAACTGAATTGCAAGTGATTAGATTTAGGAAGCCCAATTACTGACCAACAGTACTACAGGTAGCAATTATGGTCTGAGCCAGATGGTATTTCCTTAATTTTGTATAACTACTGGAATACTGAGGGTACTTCTGGACCATATGGATCCCAAGACTCCTGACCTAAAACTTCTGAGGCTATGATTCTGGGGCAGGTCATGGTTCCCAATACTGGCTGCAAATTAGAACAAGTAGAGAATTTGTTGAAAATACATACTAAAGAATTTATGAGAGATTGATAGAATCTGAACCCCAAGAGGAAGAGCTTGGGCATAAATATATTTTTAAAGCCTCATAGTTGGTTCCAATGTGCAGCTTGTGTAGAGAACCACTGGACTAGGATATCTGCATATCTAACAAGCAACCCTGTGATCCTTATGATCAATTGTGAAAGGGTGAATGGGAAATGGAGATGCATTAGCCAGCACACGAAAGCTCTTTTAAAAGCAGAAGAGTAGCATAGTATGTTGTGCTTAATCTAAGATAATGATACATATTTATTGTTTATTTTAAAAGGGACCACTGTATCATCAGTGAGTGAAACCACTGGAGGACCAACCAGTGAAGCTAAAACATCTGAAGACAAGTCAGGTGAGTAGAGGATATCATTCACAAGACATGGATTTTATTGAAAATAACAGTTTTTATCAGAATCCTCCTGAGAGCACTCAGAATCAACTAATCAAACACCATCCAACAGTAAATGTAGAATGGTGATTAACATTTTCAAGAAGATTTTAATTTTTCTGGTTTCTCCAACTCTCCCCAAAAGGAATGTTAGTTTTGTCACAATAACCATGTGCCCTCCCAATATTGTGCTTCTCAGGTGTGACTGGAGAGCCTGCTGCAACTACACCTGGGACTAGCAGTGGAAGCACAGCAAGACCATTTTTCCCTGGCTCCAGCACAGCTGGGGACACAGCAGGCAAGGCTCAGGACTACTGGGTGCTTTGGCGGTGGTGCATCACAAACTCAATTGAGACCTCAAATACTTATGAGAAATTTAAGTGAATTTAAGCGGAGCTAGGGCTTTCAAAAGGAGCTTTGATTGTGCAGTGATTAAGCACTTGGCTACTAACCAAAAGCCCAGCAATTCAAATTCTCTAGCTGCTCTGGAGGAGAAAGATGGGGCAGTCTGCTTTCGTAAAGATTACAGCCTTGGAAATCCTACGTGGCAGTTCTGTTCTGCCCTGTAGGGTGGTTATTATTCAAAATCAGCATGATAGCAGTGGGTTTCATTCTTTTTATGACTTTAATGGAGTCCCAGGATGGTGCAAATAGTTAACTCATTTGGCTACTAACACAAATGTTTCGTGGTTGGAATCAACCAGAGGCACCTCGGGATAAAGGCCTGGTGAATCATCCACTGACAGCACTTGGAGCACAGTTTTACTTTGACCCACATGGAGTCACCTTGAGTAGCAGTCAGTGTGATGCCAACCGGAAATGACTTTAATGGCTATAATCTTAAGACAAATAATGGGTAATTTAAGAACTAGTATTTTCTCTACACTCACAAAAATACTCTGAAATTTCTCCAAATAACATTTTCATCCTAACTATCCAGGCATACTAAGGTAGCCATATAAAATACAGGATGTCAGTTAATTTTTCATTTCACATAAGAAAGGAGTAATTTGTTCTAGTAGAAGTATGCCCTATGCAATAACTGGAACATATTGCTCATTGTTTGTCTGCAGTCCAAATTTGGAATGTTTTCTGTTTTTATCTGCTACATTGGCAAACCCCAGTGAAGACTGAGCAGCTTTGTTCTTTTCAATTAGGAACAACTGGAGGAGAAAATGCAGCCACCACTGGGGCCGCTGCTGAAAATACTCCTGGAGCATCAGGTACTGAGCAGCATAACCGGCACTGAATCCAATAGTGGAAATGTTATTTATTTTCCTAATGTTTTTTCAAAGATGAAATTTCCTGAGGAATTTAATGATCATTATTTGTGTAATGTCAAAAATGCAGAAGATCAGAAATCTGTCAAGAAATATCTATTATGTGTGTAACATGGAGCTGGGTACTCTAAAGGACATGAGAGGAAAAGAATTAGGCACTTGTGAATTAAAAAAATATAACTATTTTTAAGAGAAAAAAATGCACATTTATACACATGCCCAAGGCAAACAACTACACAAGGCAGAAGATACTCAAAGTGGAGGAAATCTACAGAGACAAGCATTGGACTAGGAGTTCTAAAATCAATGTTAATAAGAAAAGAACTGATTAATTGAGGGTGAAAAACCACAGAATTTTTCTATTTTTAAATGATATGGTGTTGTAATCAGGGCAGTATCAACTGTATTTTTTATTCCCTAAATCTGAAAAATCTGTTTTCCTTATCTTGGGCAAAAAAATTCAAAACACCACCAGTAAGCTGTGTGAAATTTAGGGACATATTCCTTTTCAGTGGAATAATGAGCAATCATGTTTCAGAAAACCCTCACAAGGTGATCAATGTATAACTTAATAGCTGAGTTTTTTTTGTCCTTTATAAAATTAAGCCACACCTGGGGTATCACCTGGAGTAAGAACTGAAACTAGAGGTGGCAGCTCGCCTGGGGAAACAGTTTCTGGAAAGAGTCCTGGAAAGTCAAGCAAGTCTGGAAAGGATGTCTCAGCAGTTCCCTTAGGCCTCCCTCAACAGGCTGTGACTTGGACAAAGGGCTCAACTATAACTGATATTATGTTGTAGGACCAAGGGAAATCATAGACATAGTATCTTGGGGGCCCTGTATATCCAAAACACCATCTTTGTTTTATCAGATCAGAGTACAGTTTAGTAGTTGGAAGTGATTACCGTTGCTCCATTCTTGATTCCAACATTCCTTGATGTTCTGCAGGTTCCACCACCATCCCTGACAGAGAGAACACACAAGGACCTTCAATTACCCTGACCACAACCTCAGGTAACAAATCAGGTAAGAAACGTGAGAGGTCAGTGTCTTGTGTGAGAGCTTCCTCATTCTTCTTATTAAAATAATAATAATAATAATAATAATAGACCAAACCCACTGCTATTGAGTTGATTCTGACTTGTAGCAACCCCCGTTGGGTGTCCAAGGTGGTAAATCTTTGCGGAAGTAGATTGCCCCATCTTTCACACTAGCCTCTGAAAATTACTATGGCTACCATTTCCTCAGAAGCTCTGATAGTGTAGTGCCTAAGGCATTTGACTGCTAACCAGGAGGCTTGTGGTTCAAACCCACCAGCCAATCCTCAGTAGGAAGATTGGGCGGTCTACTTCCATAGTGACACGCCTTGGAAACCCAAGGAGGGATCGCTGTGAGTCAGATCCAACTTGACCCGGCAGTGAGTTTTATATACGAGCCATTGTTCTCAGAGTCTATCTTCATTTTGTCTGTTCTACAGCTTTGTAGTGGGTCTCACTTTATAGATGAGCAAACTGAGCCTAGAATAGTTAGGTGACTTGAGTAATGTCCTTTAGCTAATAAATTGTAAAGTGGGAGGGACCCCAATTCACATAGTCTGATACTATGGCTCTTTTTCTGACCTAAGATGTAGAGCTGCACTTTGATTTAGCACTTAAGATGTTAAGAATTCATTACTCACTTGATAAAATTGCATTGTCAGTTAAATATTCAGTTTAGAATCCAATTTCTCACCAAGTTTAGTTAAGTTGCTCCAAGAGTGTTTCTGTGAACAAGTAGTATCCTTTCTTCTTGCATTAGGCACCACTGGCACATCAGCTGGCATAACAAGTGGAGGTGAGAGCTCTCCTGGATTACCTGGGACCACTGCCTCTGAGAATGAAGCAGGTGAGTGAGGGGTTTTGCTCTAGTGAGATGCTCACAGCTGAACCTGTGGAGAATCTTTTCTATTCAATCTCGTAAACATTGCACCTCTGATGTAAATATATGATGAATTGGTTAAACATTCAAATACACCAAAAATGCTTTTATCACAAGTATAATGTAGGACAACTAGATATATAGTATCTACTTGATCCTTAATTTTCATTGATACACTTATAATTAACTAGTATTTAAACTGATAGAACCAGTGGGGCAAATTGTTTAAATGGTCAGGAAAATGGTAATGACTTAAATTAGAATATCTATACATCTTCTATAAACCACAAAAATGAACACAGAGTATATACCTACAGACTGAGTCCCACTACAGGGACTGAGAAGATTAAGATCTCAATGGTTAAGAAAGGTGGCTCTAGGGACTAACATGGAGCTGAGATTCAAATAGGGCTACTCAGAAGAGAGGGAAGCATAGAGAAGGAATAATAATGGCTGATCACAGAACGCATCAACTAGGTTCACCCTCAGAAGGAAAGGAACAAACCTGATGGAAAATACTAAGATAAGATTTGAGACCTCGCTGGTCAGTGCACTGGTAAATGAAGAAATGAAGGGATATTGACAAGTACATGGATGGAGGACTAGCAGTTTTGGAAGACACTACTTCTAAGGCAGAGGGCAGCACATAGGAAGATGGAGTGATTCTTAGAGTCTAGGTGTCCAAGATAAAAAAAATAAAAGTATATAGAGGGAGGATAGTGAAAAAATACTTTAGTAGCTAAGAATCAGAAGGCAGAGGAAAGGTGTCACTTGTAAAAGAAGTTACTTTTCACTCAACAAACATGAGAGGGAGAACTCGCTCTGAAAAATTTGGTGTGTCACCTTCTCTGCCGCCCACATCATAAGATTTCTTGTTCTTTCTGGTTCATGAAAATCCATGGCAAATGGATATCAAAGGAAAAGGAAAATTACAATATCTATACAAAGCTATTTATTTGTATACATTTTCAAAAATGGTCAGCAAATGCAAGCAAATTCTAAACATCTAGTCATGGGAGCTCTGGTAGCAGAGTGCCTAAGGCACTTGACTGCTAACCAGAAGGCTGGCGGTTCAAATGCACCAGCCACTCCTCGGAAGGAAGGTTGGGCAATCCTACTTCCGTAGTAATACTGCCTCAGAAACCCAAGGAGAGGTTGCTATGAGTAGGGGCCGACTCAACGGCACATAACAACAACATAACAACAATAGTCATGAAGTAGAGGAATGCTAACACATAACAGTAATATGAATTTAAAATAACTAAAGAAATAATTTCAGGGATAAATAAACAGTAAAAATGAGAATTTAGAAAACTTCGAATAAAAATTTGTATTAGAAATGATTAAACTCTGGCAAGAAATTAAATTAAAAGGATTATCTCTAAAATAAAGGCTAAATACCAAGGTGTTCTGAAAAACCCACTGCCATTGAGTCAATTCTAACTCATGGCAGTCTCCATTGGGTTTCCAAGGCTGTAAATCTTTACAGAAGCCAATTGACTCATCTTCCTCCCACGGAGCAGCTGGTAGGTTTGAACTGCCACCGTTCTGGTTAGCAGCCAAATGCCTTACGCAGCACACCACCAGAGCTCCTTAACAAGGTGCTTAGTAGAGAATAAATGAGACTGAAATTTCAGAAAGAAGTGTGAAAAATAAACATTTTAAAAATAATATGCTTTTCAAATATATATATAATTAATAAGAGGACACACATATAGGAAACAGACAAAAATATATAATACACGTATTATCACAGTTTTTGGAAGAGTAGAAGTGATGAAACAGAACTAATATTTAAAACTGTAAATCAGGAAAAGCTTTCTGATACATAAAACACCTATTTGGTATATAGAATAGGCCCATAATATACCTTTAAGAATTAATTCTGAACAGCAGTTGTGTGATTTATTTTAGAAAACTGTTAGACTTGAAAGATAATTCTCTGTACCTCAAGGCAAAATGATCAAATTGTTCAAAAAAGAAAGAAAATCAGGTAAGCATCAGACTTCACAAGCATACAGAGCAGCATCCCTAAGATAGTCAAGGGGAAAAAAATGTGGGCCAAGGATTTTATATTCAGCTAAGTATTAAGGGTATAGAAAAACAGTTAAAACATAAAAGAGAATTCAGGGTATTATGTACCTATGAGCCCGTCATAGTCAATTCACTAGAGGATGAGTGTTATCCAGTGGATAAATGCTTTGGAAACTTTAACAAAAACACTTTAGCACTGACTATTTTTTATCTGTGGATCTAAAACTAGAAAAAAAAGTTGAGAGAAGGATGGAAGAAAATTATATAAATGTTATATACTTTGGTCAAGGAAAAATGACACATCAGTCTAACAACCAATCGATTAATGAAAAGAGAGGAGAAGAAGAAAAGATGGAGAAAATGTATTGATTTACTCACAGGTAACAGAAAGTAGTCAAAAAATTATTTAAAGCTCATGGACCAAACAAGAGAAACTTCAATTTCTTCCCTTGACTAAAAAAGGGCAAAATGTGAATTAAGAAGGAAAATAGTATTTTCTAAATAAAATTGTAAATTATGTAAGAGGAAGAATGACGAGGTAATAAGAAATCATAAACAAATATTATTTTCACAAGGAGAACCAATAGTTACTATTGAAAAGAAAGTTGGAAATATGCTAATAGGATTATATAAAAACATTATTATAAAGTAGCCACTATTAAAAATGCAATTTTGTTAATTATTAAAAAAGAAATATAAAGAAAAATTAGCAATTTAAAAGTACACATGTCAAAAGAAAAATTGCTAAAATTAGAATTTGATAGCATCTTAAAATAATATTTATGTTGTTTTTATACACTGAGGTTTATTTTTTGTCTTACATGATTTGTTTTAACTTCTTTGTACCATGGAGACCACTAATTTTTACAGATTTATCTTATCTCCTGATTTCTTACTGCATTCTTTTACTAGTTATAGTGTTTTTCCATTGTTTCTTTTGTGTTTGAGGTATACTATCATAGCATCTATAAATAGAAATAGCCAAAATTCTATTTGTTTTAATGTCTGTTAAATATGACTTAATAATTTCTATGAATAATAATTGTTCAATGAAGGTGTTTTCAAAATTGGGAATCCAATATTTTATCATATTAATATTTATAACCAGCTATCTCCATAGACAGAATAGCAACAATTGTGAGGATGGTACAGGATTGGGCAGGGTTTCATGCATGAAATTGCTGTGAGTTGAAGTTGACTCAATGGCACCTAACAACAACAACAACAATCTTCACAGAGACTGAAAAGGCATTTGATAAAAATTCAATAGCCATTTCTCATGGGAAACAATTCAATATACTAGGAAATAATTGGTGGTCTGTTAACATGATTATATATATATATATACATACATACATACATACATACATAGATAAGTTCAACATCTTAATAAAGAATTACTAAGCCTATTGTCTATTCCGGGAGGTCTGGTAGCATAGTGCCTAAGGCACTTGACTGCTGACCAGAGGGCTGGCAGTTCAAACCCAACAGCCACTCCTCAGAAGGAAGGTTGGGCAATCTACTTCCGTAGTGATATCGCCTTGGAAACCCAAGGAGGGGTTGCTATTAGTAGGAGCTGACTCAAAGGCAGATAAAAACAACAACAACATTATCTATTCCAGTAAAGGCAGGAAGAAAACAAGGATAATACTATCATGCTACTATTTAACATTGTTTTTAAATATTTAATAAACTATATTAGATAACTATTGTTGTTGTTACGTGCCATGGAGTCGGACCCAACTCATACTAGTCAAGTGGCTTAGACACTATGCTACCAGAACTCCTAGATAACTATTAGAGACATGGAATTTGAAAAGCAGCCACAGAAAGTATATTTTGAGGGGAAAAAAAACTAGTAAAGTCAAAATATTATTTACAAACCTCAAGGAGTACTTGCAGCCTATTGAAAAAGGATAGAAGATATGAATGAATTGAACTTCACAGAAAAATAAATGAAAATGATTCTTCATCATATGAAAAGATGATCAACTTTACATATAGGAAAAATGCAAACTCAAGCTACATATTTTAGTATGGCAGAAATTCAAAAGTTTGATAGCATCCTATTGACAGTAGCTTGGTTGACAGGTCTGGGAAGAAACAGTTGGCACCCTATACACTGCTGTGGTGAACACAAAATATTACAACCCCATGGAGGGCAATTTGGCAAAATAGGCCAAAATTACAGATTCTTCTACACTTTGACCCAGAATTCCCACTTCTAGCTCTCTACCCTGAAGTCATACAAACACAATATAACGTATGCCCAAACTATTCGTACTGGCGTTGTTTTTAATAGAAAAACTGGAAACAGCTTACTTTTCCAATTAGAGGAAAACCAGTGAATAAAATTGGTATAGAGCAGCACTATGCCTCTATAAAAACGACTAAGGGCAGTCTCTCTGGAATGATATAGAATTACCTTCAGGAGTTACTGTTGATTAGAAAAAGCAATATGTTTTATATCCTTATGAGGTAAGGTACTTTATAAACAATAAGGCAGTAAATTGTAAAAATAGTTATTTATAGGGTGCAAGCCAGAACAGGAGGGACTTTGAGTTCTGAGTTTACTTTTTGCATAGATTCGACTTTGAAACATGCAAATGTTACACATATTTAAAAAACAAAATTGAATCAAAATTTAAAAGCAAACCTTAAAATTGAAGAACAACTGAAACAATTGAACATGATTGATATTGAATTTTAATCACATGGAGACAGTAATTATTTCAAGTGGCTTTAAAATGCAGTCACCAGACTGTATCTGCTTCCAAACCTACTGCCACAGAGTTACTTCCGACTCATAGTGACCCTATAGGACAGAGTGGAGCTTCCAAGGCTGAAATCTTCACAGAAGCAGACTATCTCGCTATTCTCCTGTGGAGCAGCTAGTGGTTTAAACCACTGACCATTTGGTTAGCAGCTCAGTGCTTTAACCACAGCACCACCAGAGCTTCTTGTATATACTTAAAAGGAGCTCTGGTGGTGCAGTGCCTAAGACATTTGGCTGCTAACCAGAAAGTTAGTGGTCCAAACCTACCAGCCACTCTGCAGAAGCAAGACTGGGCAGTCTACTTCTGTAAAGATTTACTGCCTCAGAAACCCAAAGGGGGTCTCTATGAGTCGGAATCTTTTTCTTATGGAGCAGCTTGTGATTTGACCACAGCACCACCAGAGCTTCTTGTATCTGCTTAGTGTCATATACTTTCAATTCAAAAGGATTGTAAGGAAATGTTAAATTTAATTCAGTAATTTCATTCATAGTAGTTATGTTGGTATTACTACCTTGAAAATATTATATGGACATCATAGAATAAAGCAATAAGTCATTGTTGCAAACAGATAAGTTCTCAATTACTACTATCCAGAATTTGGTGGTAGTGCCTAAGGCACTTGACTGCTAACCAGAAGGCTGGCGGTTCAAACCCATCAGCCACTCCTCAGAAGGAAGGGTGAGCAATCCTACTTCTGTAGTGATACTGCCTCAGAAACCCAAGGAGGGGTCGCTATGAGTCGGGGCAACTCGACAGCAAATAACAACAACAGAATTTGGTGGTTTGAGCCCATCCTCCGACACTTGGAAAACAGGGCTGGTGATCTACTCGTAAAATATCACTCCCTTGAAAACTCTATGGAACAGTGTTTTTTGTTTGTTTTAACTTCTTATTGTGATTTGAGTGAAAGTTTACAGAGCAAATTGGTTTTCCATTCAACAATTTGTATTTTGTTTCTTGACATAGAACTATGGAGTAGTTTTACTCTGCAGTCGTGGAAACACCATGAGTCAGAATGGACTGGACAGCATCTAACAACTACAATTATATAAATATAATAGAAACCAAAATTTTAAGTATAAGAAAAAAGAGATACAAGATTTAATTCAAAATAATTAGGTAAAATCTCATAATAATCCATTTGAGTTAGAAATACAAATATGAATATATAAATATAATTTCCTAACTTTGGGCACTAAAAAGCCCTAAAAGCAATGACAATCAAATACCAGTGAGCTGCCCTTAGCACGTGTTTTGGGGTTCCTAAATACTTGTGACTACTCTTGCTAAAAAAGAAATGTGAAATTTCAGTTTGGAGGCAGGAAAAATACAAAGTAGGTCAGAAAAAGTAGTAGTTGAGCCTCAAACTTCTTAAGCCAGAGAGCAAGGAAACATGCAAAAGAGCATGGGTGGCAAACTGAAGAAGGTCCCGTTGACAGAAATGGGAGAATTTTGAGACTCCAAACAGGTAACAATTATAACTGACTGCAACACATTGATCATATTAAAATACATGTTCCTCCAATGATAATCATGAAAGAGAAACAAACAAGAGCAACAATTCATTTGATACTGCTGAAGGTGACAATTATGCCAATTCCTCATTGAAAAAAAAAATAGTTATAGGGTAAAAATTAAGTGATTATCCAGCATTTTAGTACAAATTATAGATCAATATCTCCAAATAGTTCCAGATGATGATAGAAAGCATTTTTATTTAAAGAAAAATAAAACCAAACCCATTGCAGTTGAGTCAGTGCTGACTCATACTGACCCTACTGGACCAAGTAGAAGTGGATCACAGGGTTTTCAAGGCCAGTCGCTAATGGAAAGATCAGTTATTTGTACCCACCATCCACTCCTTGGGAGAAATAGGTGGCAGTCTGCTTCTGTAATGATTACAACATTGGGAAACCTACAAGGCAGTTCTACTCTGTCCTATGGGGTCACTAAGAGTTTAAATCAACACAGTGGTAGTGCGTTTTGGAGTTTTAAGGAATTAAAAAGAGATTATTGACTTGAAGAATGGTGAAGTTGGAATTTTGCTAAGAAATGTTAATCTGATGAATGTATACAGCATGCCAAATAATGAGGAGATATTCCAGGCATAAGGATGTAGACTCAATGTAGTTGATGGTTGTGGAGATGAGAGACTGGTAGATGTCAGAGGTAATCTGAGGCTGGAAAGTAGCATGATTAACCATAAGATCAAGACCCATACCATCTCCATATTACTTCCGTTCTTTCCTTTTGCCTGGCACCAGTGGGATCATCAATAGGATCAACTGCTGGGGCAGGAACTCCAGCTTCACCAGGCAGTGAAGTTACATCATCTGAAGACAAGTCAGGATGTTTGATAAATGACAGTTTGATAAGTGCCCATGATTTGGCAGCAGATACACAGATAAAAAGTTTAGGATGAATTTCAAGTCAACATTAAGGGATTCATCAACAATGTGCTTATTTACCTTTTTCTCTCATTAAAATTACTCAGGCAAAACTGAAGTATCACCTGGCAGAACCTCTGAATCCAGAACCCCTGGGGAAACAGGCACTGGAGCAACAAGTTCTGCACAATCAGGCAAGTCCAGACATGACATTTTGGAGTTTCCAAACAAACTCTCATATAACAGTTTGAGATTTAAATTGAAGATTAAGTCATAACTAGCATTATATTTCCAAACAGAGGAGGAATAAATGATAGAGATAGGTTCTTTGACTTCTAATTTTTAAGAAACTTCAAATGTTTTACATCAGAACTGACACATATTTCACCTTAATCATGATGGCATGGGTTTCAGGCACCTCAGGCCTCTCTGCGGTTTCTACCACTGCCAGCCCTGGGAGTGAGGGCATCAGTGGAGCCTCAGTTACACCAGCCACAACCACCAGAAGCCAGGCAGGTGAGTAAAAGGGAAAACACTGCATGTTCAAGAACCAATTGGAATGCTTGTGGTCTCCTCCCCATTGCATTTGTCTGTCCGTGTTGTGTAGAACACAACAAAATAGAAGTAGATTAGAGGTAGGGAGCCCAATGATAGGCTATCCTAAATTCCACGGGACAGGAATGAAGTACTTAGGGTTTTCTATCATTAGAGTCCCAAGCATCATTTTAGACATCCATACTCCCAGGTCACACTCCTGTCAGTTCAGATTCTGTAAGTCAGGGGCTACAGGGAGTGGGGGTGGGTGGCAGGCACAAGTAGAAACATGTCTCTATTTAACTACCACATCAGGTGATTCTTTTTATCAGCAAAACTGGAATAATGGTATTGGAAGTGGAGTTACCAAGTACAGAGAGAAAATTTGAAGACAGAAAGTCACATCTTCCTCTGAACATAACCAGTGACCATGATGTTACAGTTGTCCTTTATTTTCATAGGCACAACTGGGCCATCAGCTGGTACACCTGGACAATCAGCTGGTACACCTACTGGACCAAGTGAAACAACTGGAGCACCAAGCAGTGAAGTGACACCATCTGAAGGCAAGTCAGAGGAGTTGAGGACAGCACTTCAAGGCTGTGGCTTATGTGGTCATGCAAAAGGGGCCTGGGGGAGTCATCCTCCTCTGACCTCTTCCTACTTCAGGAGGGGTAGAGAAAATTGCCAACAGCAGCCCAAGGCTTATTCCTAAGATGCCAGACATGCCTCTACCTTCCAACCTCTTTACCAATTCTTTGACCAACCATTCCTCCCAGAATACTCATTACTTCTCCACTGGGCTTGATAATTTGGTACATTGTCTACACAAAACTCACAGACAATAGTCAAGATTATAGAGTTTTTTAGGGAAGTAATAGGTTACAAATGAGGTTCAGAAAAGCTCAGAATACAATTCTTCTATTAAGACAGCCTCGTCAGCACAGCCTCCCCACTGCCATACGTGCAGGCATGCCTCTTTTTTGGCCCTTGCCTTCTCAGCCTGGTCTCTGCCCTGCTTCAGCAAGTGTTAAAGAGTTCTTTTAGTTCTGCTGATAAGTGTACCCCACTTTATCAGCTAGCCTCCTGACCAAAGGCATTCAGCTTTCTTGCTCCATGGGCTAGCAACTCTGCCACTCTGTCTCATGCTGGTCTCTTGATTCTGCGGCCTCTGGGGCCAGCACCTATCTGCTCTTGTCTCAGCACTGGTATCTCTGATCCAAGGATGCCCTCCCCTTCTGATTGCTCTGTCTTGATGGCAATGCAATCCCCACTTCTACTTCTGGTAGGGCTCATTTTAAGCCTAACAGAATAACAAACCGACTAAGCTCCACATTAGGGTTCCAGGCAATTTATTTCCATGGTCCCACACTACAAAATACCAGGTACCTTATTTACATTGTTAAATGTGAGGGCTTCAAACACCTCACATCTGCATAGTTTCCCAGAGACACCTTATGGTAGTCACAAAGACCTTGGATAGAAGAGTCAGAGTATGTAATTACTGAAACAGGTCATTAATGATTACTAGGTCAGAATTCTGATTATTTTGATCTGTGTACTTTTAACAAAGAACAACTATCAAAACATGTAGATTGTTGGATAAATGATGAACATTTTCAAAAGGATGGAAATTTTGACTTGAAACTCTTAATCTCCTTCAGAAGACTTGAATCTCTTAATCTCCATCAGAAATAGTATCTCCTGAGTCCATTGTTAATGTGTTTCTCAGGTACAACAGGAGAGTCTGTGGGAGTTACCACAGCAGCAGGCACGGGAAGTACAGGTGGAGCATCAGGCACTGGAGCTGCCAGCACTGGAAACCCACCAGGCAAGTTAAACCTCTCCTGGAGGGCTATGGGGTGTCCAACATTGTAAGCCAAAACCCAAGATTGTAATAATGAGATAAAGGTAAATAAGGACACCATTTTAGAAGCTAATGACATGAAAGAAACAGCAAAAGTGTGTAGTAGTGGTGGAGTAGTAATGAAGGCATTTGGATGATAGCCCAAAGATTAGTGCTTTGAACCCACCCTCTGCTCCATGGAAGAAAGATCAAGCTGTCTAGTT